GGGGGGCGGCTCCGGGGGGGACAGCGAGGTGCAGCGCACCATGCTGGAGCTCCTCAACCAGCTCGATGGCTTCGAGGCCACCAAGAACATCAAGGTGCGTAGAGCCCAGCGTGACCCAGGCATCTTGGGCAGGTGCACCCCTCCCCCACGTGCCCGGGGTAGGAAGGGGGCTTCCCTCCCCCCCCATGACTAGCTCACGGGCTCCCTGCGGGACATCCCAGCTGCTCCTTTGCGCACTGACAGCCGCCTCCCTTGCAGGTGATCATGGCCACTAACCGGATCGACATTCTGGACTCAGCACTGCTGCGCCCAGGCCGCATCGACAGGAAAATCGAGTTCCCACCTCCCAACGAAGAGGTAAGGTGGGCACATGCTGTGTTCCCGTTACTCGTAGGAACGGCCAGACTGGGCCAGACCAAAGGCCCATCCAGCCCAGGGTCCTGTCTGCCCCCAGTGGCCAATGCCAGGTGTCCCAGAGGGAGGGGACACAACAGGGAATCCTCCAACGTGACCCCTCCCCTCCCTCTGAGAAACAGAGGCCAGGGCAGCCCCGCCTCTGTGCGGAGTCATTTGCCTCTGGGCCAGGGCCAGGAGCTGTTGTGCCACTGACAGGTCTGAGACCCCCAGCTCTTGCTCCTGGCCTCTCGGGCCTCCCTTCCCCTCGTGGGCCTCACCCCCTGCCTGGGGCCCTCCCCACAGGCTCGCCTGGACATTCTGAAGATCCACTCTCGGAAAATGAACCTGACACGGGGGATAAACCTGCGTAAAATAGCGGAGCTGATGCCAGGAGCTTCTGGGGCTGAGGTGAAGGTGAGGAGTTGGCCTACGTGGGGCAGCGTCTCCTGCTGAGCTCTGCTGGAGTCCGGGACCCCTGAGCGTCTCCTCTGGGCCAGGCCTGGCCATGCACCTTGCATGTTCTAGGGGCAGGCTGGGCCCTTCAGGCAGTGCTGAGCACATGGCCTTCCCGAGGGCTGGTGTGGGGCAGGACTCTTCCATCACATGCTGCCCCTCCCCAGGGGAGCTGCTCCCCCGAACTGCAGCAGCTGGGTGGGAAGGTACAAGTGCCCCTGGAGCTCTGGGGCAGGGGCAGTGACGGTTCCTCCTTCCCTGCCCTGCAGGGCGTGTGCACGGAAGCTGGCATGTACGCCCTGAGAGAGAGGAGGGTGCACGTCACACAGGAAGACTTTGAGATGGCTGTAGCCAAGGTAAAACCCTCTGCGTGGCGGCTGCAGTGCCCCAGTTGCTCTAGGGACCCATCGCAGGCTCTGAGGGAGCCCCAGGCTGGAGAGGTGGCATGGCCTCCAAGCAGGGGGACAGGCTAAAGCAGGCGGATGGTGCACTTGGCCCCCGTTAACACCCGGGGGGGCTTTCACCCCATGCTGTGGCTGGAAGTCCCACAGGAGCCTGATTCAAACACGGGACTGGCTGCTCAGGCTGAATTGAGGGAGACTGGGGGAGTTCACTGGCTTTAGGGTAACCCCTGGGGCCTCCCTTCTGCGTGGAGACTGGGCCAGCCTTCTTCCCAGCTCCCTAGGGGCTGAGTCTGGCTACTGCCCTTGCCCTGCCATTGAACACCCCGAGCACAGGGCCTGACCCGCTCCTTTCTCCCCAGGTGATGCAGAAGGACAGTGAGAAGAATATGTCGATCAAGAAGCTCTGGAAGTAAGCGGGGGCCTGAGCCTTTGTGCTGGGCTCTGGCTCCCTCCCCTTTCCTTGAATAAAGCTCCCTGCTGCCTAAGTTGCTTCCTGCAGACTCTGGCTTTTAACAGAGGAGAAAGCTGCCTCTGCTCCTGCCAGCAGCTGGGAACCCTGCTCCCTCCCCTCCAGCTTACAGGGCCAGGGGCCTAGAAAACCCAGCCCTGCCCCGGCTGCGGGTGGGATGGAGCAGGGAGCAGCCTCTCCTGCCATGAGGCGAAGGGCTGGGTGCAGCCTGGTGCGCTGCAGGGAGACAGGCTGTGAGGGACCAGGGCTGGGGGCTGTGCAGCAGTGGCAGGGGAGAAGTAGCGCCACTGTCCCTCCCTGGGCCTGGGCGCTTGCTGCCTGGCCAAGCCCTGCTGCTCCCCAGGCCGGCAGGGCCCCGCAGTGGGAGGGGGGAAGAGACACTGGACCAAGCTGCTGCTAAAGGTTTATTAGAAAATAGCAAACCCAGACAAAATGGTTACAACAGCCAGAGCAGGGGGCCTGAGCCCCAGCCTGTCCGTAAACGCCGCCCACCGCCTGCCTCCCTTGCCATGCACTAACCACCCCCACCTGAAACAGCAGGCGCCTCTTCCACCCTGCCAGGAGCCCTTGGGCAGGGTTAAGGCACGTGGGAGAGCCGGGCTCGGGGTCCCCGCTGCTGAGCCTGCAGGCAGAGCGTGTGCGGCTTTGCTGGGGCAGAGCCAAGCAGCTGGATGTGAAACCAGAGGGTGGGAGGAACATTCAGCTGATTGTCAGACTGAGCCCTGTTCCCCCCTGAGAAGACCCAAGAACAGGCCAGGCCCCCAGTGGCTCCATTGCATAGGTTAGGCGAGAGTGCAGTGTGGGGAGAAACCTGACTCAGCTACACTCCCACTGTACAAAAGGCTTCCTCTTAAAAAACCTGGTCACAAACCATAGTGCAAACCTTGGACGCCGGCCGGGCCGGCCTTTGGAATGGACAAAGCTTTGGTTTCAGCAGACGGCAGCCGCCTGCCTGCCTGGGCCGAGGCTGAGGAGCCCATGGGGCAGTCGGGCTCCCCCAGAACAAGCTCGGGCCCCGGTGCTGACAGTGTCATTCAGACAGAGCCAGAGTCTTGCTACAAGGAAGTGCCATGGGGAGCGCTTGGCTCCCATTCAGGGAGTGAGCAGCCCTGGTCAGTGACTGCCAGGCTCAGCCCCAGGCTGGAAAGGGAGGGGGAAGCTCAGCTTCCCCC